ACACCTCCCCTCCTACTGCCAGCTGCTGTCACCCATTCCAGCAGGGAAGGTGTTCTCAGCTCCCAGGCAGGGAGACGGGACTTGCCCGCAGCCCCGGTGCAGGCAGAACCAGCTGCGCAGCCTGCGCTCCCGCAGCCCCCCACATCCCAAAACACGTGAGCAGGGACACTCACTCCTCCGTCTCGTTCTTGATGCCCAGCCACTCGTTGATTTTCTTCTGCCGGGCACCCTTCTGTGTCAGCCACCTGGAGAAGGAAGGAGAGGCAGAGCTCAGCGCGGGCAGCGTGCCCCAGGCCAGGCACCAGTCGCGAAGCCATCACCAGAGGGCAGCAGCCGTCCCCTTTGAGAGACCACCGTGCCCCGAGGCTCCATGCTGCAGGGCTCGTTCCTGCACCAAGCAGCCCACAAGCCGGTCCGACCAGCCTCAAAGCCCTCAAGGAGCCAGCTGGATCGCTCCCGGGCTGGGCTGGAGGGGCAGCAGGGCTCCACTCCCAGCCCTCTGTGGGGGAAGGTGCTACGTACACCAAATACTGGTCCCGCAGTTTGCGTAGCTGCATGAGGTCTGGCTTGAGGCTGTTCATGCGCTTGTCGATCTCCCGGTTCTCCGAGGCTTGTTTCTTCAGGTCCTGCTCCAGCTTCATCTTGCTGTCGTGGATCTCTGTGATGCGAGACTTCAGCTTCTCCGAGTTCATGAGGATCCTGGGAGAAGGAGGAGGGGTTTAGGCTGTGAGCCAGGGTGGGGGAGGCGGAGGAGGCAGCCTGCCAGCTCCAGCCCACAGCACGCTGCTGGAGAGACAAGGATCGCACATGCCTTGGCTCTGTGCTGGGCCAGGATGATCCTTGCAGCCCCCAGAGCCCTTCCCCAGGCAGGTAACCAACTTCTCCAGTGGTCACCACCACCCCCTGTCCTCACCGTTGCACCTCCTTCTCATTGCCTTCCCGCCGGAAGCGCTCGATGTACTCCTTGCTGCATTTCTCCTGCGTCTGACACTGCTCCTCAAAGATCTTGATTGTTTCATTGAAGGCCTCGATTGCCGTCCTCTTCATCTGCAGCTCCTGAAAAGGGAGGGAAGAGCTGAGGAAGGGGGAGCATTTGGGCAGGTTTCTGCCCATCTGCATCCCTTCTTCACCCCTCCTCAAAGCAGCACTGTCCTTGCTGCAGCCAAAATATCCCCCTCTTCAAAGTTCATTCTCTGGGGAGTCCCCTCAAGTCCAGGAGCAGACAAACAGGGCAGCGGGTGCCCGACCTCTGCTCTCCTCTGTGCGCAGCGGCACGGCTGCCGGTGATCAGGGGATGTAAGGGCAGCCCATGGGGAAGGCAATGCCCACGTACCTGGGAAGTGCGTGTGTACTCCTCATACAGCAGGTCGTACTCCCAGCTCTTGTCCTGGTACTGCTGGTGATAGACCTTCAGCTGCTCCCCGACGGCTTCCACGCTGTCCTCTTTCACCACTTGGTCCTGCCATACGCACAGCCTCAGTCAGGACCTGCTCAGTCAGGTCCCATGAAACCCCACCAGCCCTGCAGGATGCCTGTCACCCCACAAAGCAACATCCCAGCACAGGGGAAGGGGTAGGACTTTGTCAGCTACCAAAGGACCAGTGATGGACCTGCAAATGCCCCTGGTTCAGGCTGTGCTGGCAAGCCACGTCCCTGCGGCACAGGCCTCACCTGCTGGTACTTGGAGATGGGGTAGAGCAGCCTGGTGTCCAGCTTGGCGTTGTACTGGGCGAGTGACTCGTGCCGGTAATGGGTGATGAGCTCCACCACCGAGCCGAAAGTCAGGGGCTCTGAGAAGCCATACTTCCCTTCCCGGTGAAAGATCTTGATCAGCTTGTTATTGCCTCCTTTCCTGTAGTGGGGAGGGGAGAGAAGGCACTTATCACCACCGCAGCACCCTACAACAGCCTGACATCTGGGCTTCCAGGCAGCCGTAAAAGCACAGGGACACGTGCCGACAGCTCCACCCCAGAGCAGCGGAGGCTCTGGGCAAACCCCAGCGTCCTACCTGAGCGTGAGCGTGTACTCTCCCTGGATCTTGCTGGAGGCATCCCGCACCAAGAAAGTACCATCCGGTGTGTCCCGTAGCTTCTCATTCACCTCCTCCCTGTGAGGAACATGATTGTCATGGCCTGTGTGGTGCAGCCAGGGCTCCCCTAGATAACCCGACAGAGAGAGGGCACCCAGGATGTGAGCTGCCAGCCGCCCCCTTACCGGGAAATGTCACCCCAGTACCACTCGGCGTCCTGCAAGGGCACGCTGTTCCCGTTGGCCAGGCTGGCTGCACTAGGCTTTGGCTTAGGTGGTTTTGGAGGCAAGGCTGTAAGAGATGCAGGATTGAAGCAGGGTGAGCCCCAGTCCCAGCTCCCCACCCTTGCACAGGGCAATCCCTCGGAGCGCTGAGTCCCCCTCCCTGCAGTGACCGTCCTGGGAAGCCCCACTCGGCCACCACACTGCCAGGAGCTGCTCCAGGCACATCTACAGCAGCAAATGAGCACCTCGAGCAGGCACCCAGGCAGAGCTGGGCTACAGAAACGCCCTCGGCAGCCTGCTCACGGGGGCAGAGACTCCGCACCCACAAAGCACAGACACCAGCACCTCGGGCCCCAAGGAAAAACGGCATCTCAGTACCTGGAGGCAACTGTTCCAGCTCCAGCTCCTTCGTCTGCAGAAGTATCTCCAGAAACAGCACGGAGAAGTCAGGGCTCAGCTCTGGGCTGCAGGGAGAGAGGAGCCAAGTAAGAACAGCAGTTGTGGGGGAAAACTTGGCACTGCTCCTGTGCCCCCTGGGCAAAGCTGGGGTCAGCTGGTTCATCCCAGCTGCCAGATCCCAGGCTGACAGAAGCAAGGGCTCTGCCCTGGCTTTGAGTCCCACCTCTGTGTGCTGCCAGCAGTTTAATCCCACGTGCAGCGAGGCAGGGGCTGCGCGCAGACCTGCTGTTACAGGCTGGACTCCTCGTCCTGGCAGGCACAGCGGCTGACGCTTGGTACACGGCTGGAAGCCGAGAGCCTCACGTACCTGGCGCCAGGCAGCCGGAGGAGAAGGGGGCCGAAGATTTCTCCCAGGGCCCGAGGGTGGAGGCTGTTGCTCTCAGCCTGCTGCGATACCTTCCCCAGATGCCGGAGCAGGAACTGCAGGGTGAGCGTGTTCTGGAGCGGGACCGCAGGCGACTCCAGGGCCAACAGCAGCTGCTTCCGGCAATTCTCCGGCTGAGGGATCTCTGGGGAGAGAAGACGACACGATGGAAGGGCTGGGACAGCCGGCACCACTCTCCACGCTCTGGCTGCGTCACAGCGTGGGAGCACTGTTGGCAGCAGAGGCCGTGTGCCAGACCCCATAGGGACAGGACTTATTTTAATATCCCAAACATGTCCATCCCGCCCAGCCACCCCTTCAAAGTGCGGCTAGGGGAAGCCCTTACCCTGCAGGATGCGAAGGATGTCTCCATGCACGGACACCGGCACCATGGGAGAGGGCAGGTCCTGTAGGTAGCCTCGCAGCGCCTCGCCCAGGGAGTGCACATCAAAGGGCTCCAGGTCGCCCAGGGTCCATTCTGCCAGGGCACATATTTCCCATGGGTGGCAGGCACATCACTGGGCACCCGCCAGCAGCTCCGGTGCTGCCAGCACCCGTCCCAGAGACCGTCACACATCACCCGGCCAGCTATCACAGTACACGGGCAGCTCAGCACCACAAGGGAGCTCAGGCAGCCCTCAGGCAGCCGAGCAGCCCACACAATGTAGGACACTTAGACATGCCCCCCGCACCCCAGAAATAAGCTGGCCCTGGGAATCCTGGCAGGTGCCCCCCTCAGGAGGAGGGTAGAGGCCATTTTGGATGCCCACACCGTTTTGCCCTGAGCCCTGCCACAGGAATCCTGGGCACGTGAGACTCGTGTGACAATTCTCTTCCCTGCTGCTGGTAGAGACAAGAGCAGACTGACCAGCCACACACTGAACCCCACGGGGGAAACGTCTCCCTCGAACCATGCTGCCCCATGAATGTACGGCACAAGCTGTCGGGACAGCACATAAAGCCTGTCCCGAAAGCAATGCGGCTAGAGCTGACAGCACTGTGTAGTTGGGGTTTGCAAGAACGTCTGCGGAAGGGGACAAGCCAACAAGACCGTCGGGGGAAGGGACAAAGCCAGCACGGTGCTGGATGAGGCCCAAGCCCAGCCAAGAGGCAGACAGCTCCGAAGGCTCCCCGGCAGAGACATCAGCTGCCGGCACAGCGGAGCCAAGGCTCCAGCCACCAAGCTGAGCTGAAGGATCCTCCCCTGCTTATTAGTGGCATGACAGAACCAGAGAAGCCTCTGCCAGCCCATCGGCAGAGCACCCCAAGAACGGGACACCCCGAAGAGGCAGCAGGAGACAAGCGCAGGCATTCACTTGTTGGCCTGTGAGTCTCCGA